TTTCAAACAAAAAAAAAAAAAAAAAAAAAAGTATTTTGCATAAAGAAAATGAAACAGCCTATTTTAGGACCATTAAGATTTTGTACATTTTCGTCATAATTGTCAGTAGCCTACTGTAATGAAAAAATTAAATTATCTCATTGTCATTATTGTAACTTAAAACAAAATATTGTTTATTAAAAAAATCTCATTGTCATTACCATAGCATAAAATGAGATATTGTTTTAATATTTACAAAAATCATTGTCATTACCGTAAAACAAAATGGGGTATTGTTTAATTTTTTAAAATATTGCCAGTACCAATATGCAAAAAAAAAAAATCTCTACTAAACATTTGATATTTTTTTTAATAATTTATCAATTTCATTGTCATTACCATAATGCAAAAATATTATTCTTATTAAATATTTTCCAGTACTCACATAAAATTAGATTATATTTTAAATATATATAAAATAAATATATTTGATATATTTAAATTGTGAAGTAAATTAAATGTTTTTACAGTACAGTTACACAATAGTCGTACTTGTTTTTAACCCTTTAATACTACCATTAAAAATGTTTAAAGTGACCTGATAGTGAGATTTTCACATTAGACCACGGATAAAGAAAATTGAGAGATTTTACATTATCCATATACATTATAAGATTTAGTAGAAATCCAAACACACAAGCGCAGTCCGATTCTATTTCAAAGCAAGCGTGGTTTTCTCTTTGCAGATCGTGTTGCATCGAGAGGAGGAGGTGTTGGACTGTGAGTGTGACATGGCCATGATGCACCATCTCCTGTCCCGTATCCCAGAGGACCTGCCGTACGAGACGCTGATCAGCCGCGCAGGAGATCTGTTCGTTCAGTTCCCCCCGTCTGAGCTGGCCAGAGAGCGCAGTCAGCTGTAAGTCTATCTGCCGGAATGTTTTTCTCACAACAAACATGTCCCACAAACCACTAGGGCTGTCAAAAAAAAATGTGAATTTCGAATATTCATCGAATTAAGCACAGCTCACACAGAAGTCCCAAAAGTCAAACCAAGCAGCAAATTTGTGACCAATCTGAATCTGTTGCGAAATCTGCATGGGGAAATGTTTTCGCCCTCACGCGAAACTGCCAATCGCATGGATTCCTATTGAAATTAGGGCTGTCAAAAAAAATGTGAATTTCGAATATTCATCGAATTTAAAATAAAAATCCACATTGCATTCGAATTTTAGGTGTGCGCTAAGGAGACAGCCTTATCAGCGGCGCACGAGATGCGATGACGATGTAAGTGTCGTTGCATTATAATGTTTTTGTTAGCCTATCCAGTTGAAGCCACTAGATGCGGCGCTGCTGCGTTGTTCATTACAAATATTGCGGGAAACGAGAACATCAATGCAGAGAAGATTCACGCATTTTCTAGAGGGACATCTATTACTGTTGCACTCGCGTCTTGCACAAAAGAGCCGCATGTTTAGAAAGCCATGTAAAATTAATGCAAGTTTAACTTTGAAAAAAACATATATCGAGACTTTATGGCGGGTTTTTCCCCATCCCACTGCATCTCACGTTTTTAAATGAAAAAATTTACTCTGTGTGATTGGCTTTCTGCCCTTTGTATTAAACTATGCATACATACATAATGCTGTTTTGTTTATAGTTGTTTAAGCAACTTAATTATAATTGGTTTATAAACATTAATTTAAACATTATGCACTTTTTTCCCCGCAGATAGTCATGTTATCTTATGCTTTGAATAAACGTGCATTAGTAATATTTTGCTCGATGCGCCCTCTTGTGGCCTCAGGAGAGAAGCCAAAAGCTTTTCTTCACCCTAACTGAAATTATGCATTTTAAATTAAAATATAATTCGAATTTTGATCATATTTAAGTACAAAATTCGAATTTAGTTTTTCAGCCATTTTGACAGCCCTACAAACCATTGTCTTTTTTTTGTCCAGGATGGCTGTCTCCACCTTCAAAGACTTTGAGTTGGCGTCGACGCAGCAGCGTCCGGACACAGTGCTCCACCAGAGACGGAAAGAGCAGCAGCAGCGCACACTGGAGGCCCAGCGAGGAACCGTAGCAGTCGTCCAGCCCACGGCACGGCGCCTCATGCGGCTGGCAGTCATGGGATTGACTGTGGCATTGGGGGCTGCCGCTTTAGCCGTGGTAAACTCTGCCCTGGAATGGGCTCCTAAACTAGACTTACTCTTCCCGTGAAGGAGCCAATCAACAGCACAGAACCACAGCGTCTTGTTTTGAGGACTGAATATTGGTTACTTTGCCTTTTTTTGTTGTTTTTTTAGGTATTTATACTTGTGAACCGGTTAGACTAATAAATAAAATAATGTGTTCATAGTTATTGTAATTAAACAAGCTGTTTCCCATTGAATGAGGTGCTGAGTCTGAAATATTCAGCAAAGCAGAGCTTCCACTTCCTCTAGTAGACGATGAAAATGTTTCCTGGATCTACGGAGGACAGGCATCAATCCTTGTGTTGAATTGGATGTACAGTGGAGGTATGTATACTCCATGTCTCATACATGAAACACAATCTGAGCAAATGTTTAAATCATTTGTAAAAAACATTCCCTTTGTCTTTTTACTTGAAGGAATAGTTCACACAAGAATGAAAATCTGCTGAACATTTACTCACCCTCAGGCCATCCAAGATGTAGATGAGTTTGTTTCTTCATCAGAACAGATTTGGAGAAACGCAGCATTACGTCACTTGTTCACCAATGGATCCTCTGCAGTGAATGGGTGCCGTCAGAATGAGAGTCCAAACAGCCGATAAAAACATCACAATAATCCACAAGTAATCCACACCACTCCAGTCCATCAGTTAATGTCTTGTGAAGAGAAAAAGCTGCATGTTTGAAAGAAAGAAACCCATCATTCAAATCTCTTGATTTTTAACTTCAAAATACAAGTCCTCTATCCATAATATTGCTTTCTCCAGTGTAAAAGTTGTCTCGTCTGAATCAGGAGCAAAATATGCACAGATCAAGCACTTGTAGAAGGAAAAACAGTCCAAAACAGCTCTAAACAAATATGTCGGTGGATTTTGATGTGGGAGGGCAACAGGAGATGGGCATTTTCACTGGAGGAAGCGTCACTATGGACTCATTTTGGCAAGAAGCAACGGGTTGAAGTTAAAAAAATCTTTATTGTGATGTTATTATCAGCTGTTTGGACTCTCATTCTGACGGCACCCATTCACTGCAGAGGATCCATTGGTGAGCAAGTGATGCAATGCTACATTTCTCCAAATCTGTTCTGATGAAGAAACAAACTCTTCAACATCTTGAATAGCCTGAGGGTGAGTAAAATTTCTGCAAATTTTCATTTTTGGGGGGGAACTATTCCTTTTAAAATTCATGTTCATTGTTTGTAAACGTTTTTTTTTTTTTGTAAATTGTCACATTGAATTGATATTAACCATTTAGTAATGATAGTTTAAGAGTTTTTGTTTTGAAATGTAACCCTAACATATAAAAGAAGTATATTGTTTGTAAAACAAAGTTTTAGTTTTGACAAAATTGTCAAATTTAAGTGAATGTGACAATTTACATAAGAATGTCTTGACATATCATGTACATAATGATACAAAATTCATGTACAAAACATCTGTTCTTAAGTAAATTGTCGTATTAAATTGACTGCAACAATTTAAGAATGATTTTACGAACTATGTACATAACGACAATTTAGTAACAATTTAGTAACAATAGTTTTAATTTTTGTTTTGAATGCAAACAGCTTACATAAGAATATTTTATGAACTATGTACATACAATAGTTTAAAGGAGTTTTTGTTTTAAAATTCATGCACAAAAACAACACAATGTTTGAAAAACATTTTTCCCATAAATTGTCAAACCAAATTTAATAGCTGTTTGCATAAGTATGCTTTTATGAAAGTTGTCAAGTCCTTTGTGAAACTTTTTCCTTTTTATGACAATTTATGTTTGAAATTCACATACAAAAACAAGATTCAAACAAAAGCAACCATTCTAAATCCATTCTTATGTAAATTTTCACAAATCAACCAATTTCACAAGAATGGCTTTTTCAGAAATTTGCTCAACTTGTGATTCATGATTGAGACATCATGTACTTTATTGTACTTTGCTAACATTGAGACCAAAATATTTTTAGAAAACTTGTTTGTAGAATTAGAAATGTAATCTGATTGGTCCAGGACCCCTTATGGGTACGAATCTCATTTGTTAAGTGTGTGTAAAATAAAGAAAGAAACCATTTACAAAAGCAGTGAACGAACCAACTTTTTATTATGTTCGTAATTTGTATGTTAATGTTTTTTTAGGTTATTTTTTTCCACTACATTGCAGGTTTTTCACTCTCTCTCCGAATCACCTTAATTACAGTATTTTTTGTGATAAGTGCTGATCTTAGTACATAACATGCAGTTTTCACGAATCTCAGAGCTGGAATTGAAACCACTTCTGAATAACTTCAGCTGATTAACAAACTTGAGATTCCTTGATTCTGGAGTGTGTAAACGGTGAATGTGAAAGAAGTAGTTGCTCTAATTGAACTCCAGATCAGTGTTGAATCATGGCACACTGTTATTTTTGTTGTTTAAATGCTGTTCACAACTGATCGTTTCCACTAAACAACATCTAAGCTTCGAGTAACATCCAACTGGATATTTTTCAGGATTCTAACACTGCTTAGTTGAAAACATCGGTGAATCATGATTTATTGAAATAACACGCTGCCATCCCCACAAAACTACTGTTTATGCTTTTATTTTGCATTAATTTTGCACTAAAGAACACGCTTCTTGCTTATTTTTTGCACTTTGAGAGATTGTCATAAGTTGCCTCTGGTTCGCTCATGTTAATGTGTCACATTTGACCATGTTGCTAAATATGTTTAAATAAAAAGAAACGTAAAATGATTCGAGTAAAAAAGATTTGTTCTTTTTGATGAATTCTGCACTGCTTTTTTGTGAATTATTATTTATTTCAAGAGGTTAGTTAAAGGTCTCTTTTTAAAAAAAGAAAAAAATTGTATACCAGTTTTATCAAATCAACAAGAGAATATTGTCAACAGAATGAAAATGCTTCTACATGTTAAAAAAGGCAATATGGGGAAAAACCTGTAGTCTAATTATTAAAATCCTTTTTGATTTTGATATATCAGTAATTATAATAATTGAGCATTTTTTGTTCATCATAAAAAGTGAAATTACGCATTTGATTACATTCTATTCCATTTGCTGCATTTCTTCTGCTTTTAAATTAATATTTAATGTAGTTTTCTTCTTTGATGTGATTTGTTCCTTCATTGTTCCATATTGCATATTTAGCAATGATCTTACACACACAAAAATTGCCTTTAAAAAAATCAATATTCTTACACACTAATGCTTTCCTCTTACAATATCATTGCACAAAGTCCCAGAGCATCAGCTTGCCAGTAGTGATTTAAGACAGTTTGACGTAATAATTTCCACCTTCAATACCACGACTGAGGTGCCCTTGAGCAAGGCACCGAACCCCCAACTGCTCCCCGAGCGCCGCAGCATAAAATGGCTGCCCACTGCTCCGGGTGTGTGTTCACAGTGTGTGTGTGTTCACTGCTGTGTGTGTGCACTTAGGATGGGATAAATGCAGAGCACTAATTCCTAGTATGGGTCACCATACTTGGCCACATGTCACGTCACTTTTCACTTTAAGTATATTTAAAAAATGTCACTTTTTCATCAGTTTATACTATCCCATGAAACCTCGGATATTTTAAATTTTCTGAATATTTAGTCCTAGAACATATCTATTAAGTACTGACATCCAGATGAATGTGCCAGTGATATGACTAGATGAGCAAAAGCTATAATTGCAAACTGTATGTAGCGCATCAACCCCGCCTGGATTATTTTGAGGAGTTTTGTGTTTTGTTGCTGTAGCGCATGTTTTTGCTTGTGGAATCAGTGGCAGTTCTGACAGCGCGGATGGCAAAGAACTCCGTTGACTCGACATTTGCAACCGCCCGATGTGTCTCCAGCACCCTGAGGAGACAAAACCAGGTCCAGATTAGCCATTTGATGTTTGTGAATCACTGAACTAATGATTTATACACTTTTGTGTCTAACCTGAGGTCCCCATCGGGCTTGTTTAGTCACCCAGCAGATCTCGGTCTTGCACATCAGACAGCAGATCCAGTCACAGCCGTCTTTCTTCTGGACGATCACCTGACATTTGGGACAGTTCATCGCCTCGCCGTTCTTCAGGAGTTGCTGGAAGCGAAACCGCTCAATAGGTAACAAATATTTTAAAGTTGATTCTTTTTTTTTAGTGTATTTGAAAACATAAGGTGTACCTGAACAAATGACTCTTACTAATCAGATCTTTGTAGAGAATCAAGCACATACAGCACGACCAATGCAGTCTGATTCCCAAACAAATGACTCTTATAAATCAACTCTTGAATCAGGCACATACAGTGTGACCAATATGGTATGATTCCTGAACAGGTGACTCTTTTGAATCAGACTGTTTTAGTGAATCAAACATGTACAGTGTGACCATTGTGGTCTGATTTGCAAAGAAATTACTCTTATGAATCGTCTCTGTTTGTAGTGAATCAAACCAGCGTAGTGTGATCCTCAACCAAATGACTAATTCCCAAACGAATGTCTCTCTACAAATCGGCTCTTTATAGTGAATTAAATACATACAGCATGACCAATGTAGTCTGAATCTCCAACAAATGACTCTCTTGAATCTGCTGTTTTATTTGGGAAATAAAACGCATACAGCACGACCAATGTAGTCTGATTCCCGAACAAGTGACTCTTATGAATCGTTTCTTTTTAGTGAATCAAACAAAGACAGCACGGCCAGTGTAGTCTGATTCCCGAACAAGTGACTCTTATGAATCGTTTCTTTTTAGTGAATCAAGCAAAGACGGCACGGCCAGTGAAGTCTGATTCCTGAACAAATTACTCTTACGAATCGGCTCTTTTTAGTCGATCAAACACATACAGCATAACCAGTGTCGTCCAAATCCCAAATAAACAAATTATTGTACATTTACTTATTATTAAAATGATCTTAACTTTCACAATGCAATTGCATTTCCTTGTTCGTTAGTGGAACCATTAAAACGACTGCAATTCCGGTGAGGAAATTCTTTACAATTCCCACCCCTAGTGGGTGCTGTTTCACAATGGCAATAACTTCAAATATTAGCGGAAAAAGTTGAGCGAATTAATTTTTCACTTACATCCAGCATCTGCGTGGTCTGCCGGGCTGTGTCGTCATTCTGCGCTCGAATACGGAGGTCATCCTGGTACTCCTTGCAGTTCATTCCCTTGTGAATAGCCTTGACACGCACATGCACAGTCCTTTAGGTCACCATAACATGCACTTTTAGAATCTGATGTGAACAAGACACCAACAAACTTTGTGTTCACCTTGCATAGGAGACAGTTGGTCTCGTTGCAAATGTCACATGTGAATTCGTTCACGTCGTCTTCGAAGATGCACCAGCCAGCACAGTCGGGTGTCTTGCAGTGGTAACTGTTCTCACTGCGGGACTCTGCGATGTTCAGCCTCAGTTCTAGAAACTTCTGGTACTCGTCCTGAGAGAGAAGCTGGTGGGAAACAGTAAAGTTAAGTGAACAGGTCACTGCAATAATTAAATCATACTGCATTTTTGATCTTACTGATCTGATTTCTCGATCTTGAAGTTGGCAGTTACAGGAATAGGCATTGTCTCTGTAAGGACAAGCCACCTCGGCATCCATGCAGTTCAGAACGGTTTCCTTCAGGCATTCCCTGTAGGATATACAAAGTTGTATTTCAGTCTGTTTCACTACTCCCTGTTTATAGTAACTGATAAACAATCTCACAGCACCTGCAGAAGCTATGCAGGCACTCTCTCAGCACAGCGCCCTCTCCTGGCAGGATGGTGCAAAAGCAGATGGCACAGTCCAGATCTTCCACATTCCCCACCAGACTGTGGGAATCCGTTTCAAGGAGTTCTTGGAAATTCCTCTCCCGTTCATCCTTCACAGACTACGTAAATAAACGGACAGGCGTTATATTTCTGGTTTTAATAACAATAGACCAAATCAGGAAAAGATGCTGTTGTAAAAAATGCTGAAAATCATAATGCGGACCCAATCCTAAAAGATGCTAATAAAATCCTCTAAAAATCAAAACATTTAAATTTATCCTAGAGGAAAAAGTTGTTACACAATATATATATATATACAACATGTACATGATATATAAATGACACAATATCTAATAGGAATATAAAAATGTAATTATTATTTCTTAAATAAAATATTTAACTAATATTAATAGTTAATACAAGTATTTATAATTACAATCATTTAATTATTATATAATTATGATGATTACTATTATTAATTAATAATAATTATATGATAATTAGCATTTCATCATATTGGTAAATATAAATGCCTAATTTAAAAAAAACAATAGCAATCCCCCTTTAGATTTTTTTTATTCATGACTGTATAAAATTAAAGTTTGCTTCAATTATTAAAACATTCATTTTTGAACACTTTTTCAGTTAACAACAAATGAGAAACTTTTTTGCATTTCATTCTGTGATGCAAGGTAAATCCATATGAAGACTCTCTGAATGTTTCCCATTTTCACTTTCCATTCATCTTTATAAACAGTAAAGCTTTGCAGGTGCAGGCATAACGTTAGGTACTTTCATAATCCACAAATGTAAACAATGTTTTTTGAGTGGTTTTCATCCCACAGTCCAATCTAACAGTTCACTGTAGTCCAGTATGTTGGGTCCCCTCAGCTAACCTGCTCGTACTGCAGGCTGGCGAGTTCCTCCTGCTGGAGTCTCCTGGTTTCCACCTCATCCGGCTGGTACATGTCAGGTACTTTATAGTTGTCAGGTCTTGCTGTGCTGCACATCTCACAACCTGGACGTGTTGGTTTATTCATAAACGTGCAGCCAGAACATGACCAACCAACTGGCTATAAAAGCAAAAAAATTATTATAATTACGATAGATAGATAGATAGAGCAACAGGTAAAATGACAGAGAGTGGCAGATAGAACAAAAGATAAAGCGATAGATAGAACAATACAGCTACAGACAGCAACATATAGAATTATAGAGTGCACAGAACAGTGAAAGGTAGAATGATAGATAGAGTGACAGAAAATGATATATAAAGTGACAGATAAAGCAACAGAAACCTAGATAGAGCAACAGATAGAAGACAGAGCAACAAACAAAGTGACAATGATAGAGCAACAAATAGAATGATAGATAGAGTGACAGATAAAGAGAAAAATAGAATGAAAGAATAACGGAGCAACAGAATGATGGAACAACAAATAGAATGATAGAGCAACAGACAGAACGATAGTTAAAGTGACAGAATAAAGCGATAGAAACTAGATAGAGCAACAGAATGATAGATAGAGGGACAGATAAAGAGAAAGATAGAATAACAGAGCAACAGAATGATGGAACAACAAATAGAATGATAGAGCAACAGACAGAACGATAGTTAAGGTGACAGATAGAGCATCAGAACCACAGAAAGAGCAACAGATCAAATGAGAGGTAGAGTGACAGAGAACAATAGATAAAGTGACAGATAAAGTGATAGAAACGGATAAAGCGACAGATAGAATGAAAGACAGAATAACAGAGCGACAGAATGAAAGAACAATGAATAAAATAATAGAGTGACAGATAGTGTCAGGATCATAGAAAGAGCAACAGATAGAATGATAGCTACAGCGACAAAGAACAATAGATAAATTGACAGATAAAGTGGTAGAAACTTAGATAGAGTGACAGATAGAATGATAGATTGAGCTATAGACAGAATGATAGAGCGACAAATAGAATGATAGATAACGTGACAGATAGAGCACCAGAACCATAGAGCGACAGATAAAATGACAAAAAATATAGAGCTACAGATAGAATGACAGAGCAACAGAACGATAGATGAAGTGACAGATAAAGCGATATAAACATAGCAACAGATTAATGAACAGATGAAAGATAGAGCGAGGGATAGAGTGACAGATAGAATGAAAGATAGAACGATAGAGCGACAGATAGGATGATAGCTAGAGATATAGACTGAATGACAACAAACAGAATGATGGAGCAGCAGAAAGAATGATAGATAATGTGACAGATATAGAGTGCCAGAACATTAGACAGAGCGACAGATAGAATGACAAAAAAATAGATAGAGCTACAAATAAAATGACAAAACGATGGATAGAATGACAGAACAACAGAATGATAGATAGAGACAAATAGAACAACAGATTGAACGATAGAGCTACAGATAGAACAATTAATAAAATGACAGATAGACAGACTAAACGAGAGAGCTGCAGATAGTGACAAAAAACGATAGATAGAGCAACAGATTGAACAATAGATAGAGTGATAGAATGATAGACCTGAGGTTTGGGAGGTAGAGGAGGGTGATTAACTCCTCTGGCGACGAGCTCTGGTGGGCGATGAGGTGGACGATCAATGATCTCAATTATATCTTCATTGAGAAAGAAATGCGGTTCAGTAAACTGATATACAAGCTGTTATTTTTTTAACTCAGAAATACAGGCTAGATACCATCGATCCGTCTATCCTCTTTCTCTTTTCTCTCTTGTTCGCGGCTCAGATTGGCAGCCTGGGTGGAAAGGATGAAGAGGAAGGCTGAATCATTGTGGCTTCTGACCCCATAATGATACAGGGTTTCTCTGTCCTGGGCGAGGCGCTTCCCGATCACCCAGCGCTGGAGGGCCGGGTGGAAGTCATAGTCACGATTGATCTGAAAGACAGATTTTGAATACCTAAAAAGTAAATGAGGGCTCCAGTAAATGTATCATTTTGGGTTTCCGTTTCAAACAAGAATTTTCATTCTCAGGTCCATCACTAACACTGTTTACCTTTTCTTTCAGCTCTGATATTGTCATGTAAACTGGTACCATCACTGTAATTGGGATGTGGGCATCTGACACGGCGTCCGCCACTCCTACTCTCAACCTGCCATCACACAAAGCAAAACAAAAAACAAACAAAAAATCACATATAGTGTTTCTCGCCGCAATAAAACCAGTCTAACAGCATACCTGATGCAGTCTTGAGAGTACACTTCAGGATTTATTTTGACACACACTGGGAGTTTTAGATCCAAAAGTTGATCCAGGTATTTGGTCGCTTCATCTTTGTCTCTAGAGTTGATGGCGTCACTCAGCATTTGAGCTGCATCCTCGGCTGGGACAGCAAAGATGTGATGTTAACATAATACACGTTGCTGTGTGGAAAATGTGTCTTTTGATGTATAAATTTATTGCATAATGCATTTACTAACACTCACCTTCTTTTATATTTCTAGAGGAATCTAGGGCAGCCATACTTTTACCTTGAAAGCTTTAAAAAAAAAAACACACACACACACAAAATACAAAATAAAAAATATTATTTTAAATATTTTAATATAAATATTTATATTTTATATTCTTTTTAATATTTAAAAAACTGAATATTAAAAATTAAATAAATATAACTATTTATTTTATTAATTAAAATACATTTTCAATATAAACATTCGTTTATATTTAACATTATTGTGTAAAAGATACCATGGTTTATGTAACAATTGTTTACATGAATAGTTATTATATTCAAATATTTATTAAAATAAATATGTGTTTTTTTTAACTTTATTACAATAAGTATTAAATATAACATTTGCATTACATTATATGCAAATATATATTATAGAAAATGTCCAAAAATATAGCAAATTATAGTATATACAAAAAAACCTAGCAATACCATAGTTCAAGCAACAATTCTTTTAAATAGTTAATGCATTTAATATATTTATAAATAATACAATATTTTAAGTATTATTATATTATATATATATATATATTATATTATACAAATGTATATGTGCAAAACAATTAGCAATACCATGATATTTTTTGTAGATATTGAATTCCAAAAAAAGTACTGTGGTCGTACCATGGTATTTTTAATCATCTAAATTAAATTTATGAAATTGAGATTTAGAACATTTGGTTGTGCCTCTGTGCATGCATTGAGATAACTGATAATTTTCAGTTACACATAATGTGTTTAAATTACACGTTGTGTGTTAAATTACATTACACAGTAGATGTGTGATCCATCTTAACACACAAATTGTGTTAAATTTGACACAACATGTGTTGTCCCTGAGCACACTCACCACATGTGTTAAAATTCTGCACAACATGTGTCATTTTTAACACATCTCTTTTTGCAATGTACGCAAAGGTACTGAATGGTTACCATACTCGTATACCGTGGTATTTTACTCCATGGCAACTCCAGAATACCATGGTACTATACTCAGAAATGTTAAAAAAAAAAAAACATTCCATCACCAAGGTACTTTTGCTAATGTAAGTTTTAATTAAATCATAATAGAACTTACACAAAATAAATACATAAAAGTGTACTACGTATGTTAGCCTTTATGTAACCAACCAATGTTAACCAACTAAACCAGCTAATCAAACATGTAACAAGCGCTCGCTCAGCACAACAGCAGAGACAGTGAAATATGAGGAAATAAACTTACCAACCATAGGAGAGAAGTTTTTAAAACGCTCTTCGTGTTCGTATTTGTATTTTAAACGATACAGTGCTGATTAAAACATCCGTGCTGTTTTCGAAATCAGGGAAATGTAAAGAAATTAAAAGTGAAACTCAGTTGCTTCAGGAAGTTCCCAGTCAGGAAAGTTTGCGTAACTTCATCAAACACAGACGCGGAAGACACTCCTATAGATTTATGCTATAATAATAATAATAATAATAATAATAATAATAATAACAATTTTGACAAAAATGCAAGCAGAAAAATACAAAGAAGAGAAATGAACTGAAAAAAAAAATAACAGTAGAGCTGAAAACAAATATTTTAACAAAAAGTAATGAATAAATATATCTGCTTTCGCTGAATCAGTTTCGGGGGGGGAATTTTTTTATTTTTTATTTTTTATTGCCCGTCATCACAATAAGAATTAATTTCCCTGTTGTTGTTGTTGTTGTTTTATTTTTTTAATTGACTTTTATTGAGGTGTTCTCGCGAGATTTGACGAAACAAGAGGGCGCATGGCGCTGCGCATGCTAACTTACCAACCATAGGAGAGAAGTTTTTAAAACGCTCTTCGTGTTCGTATTTGTATTTTAAACGATACAGTGCTGATTAAAACATCCGTGCTGTTTTCGAAATCAGGGAAATGTAAAGAAATTAAAAGTGAAACTCAGTTGCTTCAGGAAGTTCCCAGTCAGGAAAGTTTGCGTAACTTCATCAAACACAGACGCGGAAGACACTCCTATAGATTTATGCTATAATAATAATAATAATAATAATAACAATTTTGACAAAAATGCAAGCAGAAAAATACAAAGAAGAGAAATGAACTGAAAAAAAAAATAACAGTAGAGCTGAAAACAAATATTTTAACAAAAAGTAATGAATAAATATATCTGCTTTCGCTGAATCAGTTTCGGGGGGGGAATTTTTTTATTTTTTATTTTTTATTGCCCGTCATCACAATAAGAATTAATTTCCCTGTTGTTGTTGTTGTTGTTTTATTTTTTTAATTGACTTTTATTGAGGTGTTCTCGCAAGATTTGACGAAACAAGAGGGCGCATGGCGCTGCGCATGCTGTGAGTAAAGGACAAGCACGACCTGTAATTCTGTACGTTCATCTGTTTTCTGACCTCTAAACAGTTAGTTGATTAATTTAGTATTTAAATGCAGCATGTTGTTTTACATAGCGGCTGGAGACTCTTTAACTAATATCAATCTTTTTGGAGTTCAGCTAATACAGAACTGACACGTGAGCTGGAAGACACCGATCTTCCATAAATGTATTAATTAATTACTCTACTGATTCACCATTATAAAGAATACTGTGGCAGTACCATGATACAGTGATTGTGTTAGATGGTTATACCATGTTGCTTTGTCATATGCCTTGTTACTGAATGGTTACTATATTCGTATTGAATATGGAACTCGGCTCTTGTATGCATTTACATATTCTTGTAGTAATTATCACTGCAAATGTATCTGAATAAACGGGGTTTTATCTTACTTCATTTAGGCATACTCGCAGACCATCTGAAAAGATTTCAGTGTCAAACTATGGAGGAACCCTCCAAATTTGAGCGATATGTGTACAAAAATGCTTCAGTTTACCATTATATGAAGATATCTCTGTAAGTGTAATGAGACAGGTCAGTTTTGATCTGGTCATTTTAATGCAATTTTAGATGGTGCACATAAAATGTTCAAACCCTCAATTTTTGTTTGCCTTTATTTTTAGAGTTTTGGAGAATGGAAACAAATACATTACTGATGCACAGTTCAAACAATTGATTATCTGTGGACTCAAAGACCTGTACGGAGAGGTGAGCACATAGTACGTCTCTCTTTGTTTACAATTTGAGTGTAATGATGCAGTTATGGTTCTTTACAAAATAATGCAATGCATCATGAAATTTTAAATATTAGGATTCATATTGATTTAGTTTGCTACAATTAATAATTTTTTTTATATAATATGTAGAAGGACTCTTTAACTAATATAAATCTTTTTGGAGTTCAGCTAATACAGAACTGACACGTGAGCTGGAAGACACCGATCTTCCATAAATGTATTAATTAATTACTCTACTGATTCACCATTATAAAGAATACTGTGGCAGTACCATGATACAGTGATTGTGTTAGATGGTTATACCATGTTGCTTTGTCATATGCCTTGTTACTGAATGGTTACTATATTCGTATTGAATATGGAACTCGGCTCTTGTATGCATTTACATATTCTTGTAGTAATTATCACTGCAAATGTATCTGAATAAACGGGGTTTTATCTTACTTCATTTAGGCATACTCGCAGACCATCTGAAAAGATTTCAGTGTCAAACTATGGAGGAACCCTCCAAATTTGAGCGATATGTGTACAAAAATGCTTCAGTTTACCATTATATGAAGATATCTCTGTAAGTGTAATGAGACAGGTCAGTTTTGATCTGGTCATTTTAATGCAATTTTAGATGGTGCACATAAAATGTTCAAACCCTCAATTTTTGTTTGCCTTTATTTTTAGAGTTTTGGAGAATGGAAACAAATACATTACTGATGCACAGTTCAAACAATTGATTATCTGTGGACTCAAAGACCTGTACGGAGAGGTGAGCACATAGTACGTCTCTCTTTGTTTACAATTTGAGTGTAATGATGCAGTTATGGTTCTTTACAAAATAATGCAATGCATCATGAAATTTGAAATATTAGGATTCATATTGATTTAGTTTGCTACAATTAATAATTTTTTTATATAATATGTAGAAGGCACAACTTAACTGCTGGGGGAAAAGTCCAAAAATAGATTTTGAATAAGCATAATACATTGAGAATTGTTAATTTAATCATAAATGATGCCAAAATGTAAAATAATGATATGTAATCATAATTATGAATAATAAATATAAAATAATAAAAAATGACTTAAATTATCTATAATAATAAATTTAATTTTAATTTTGAATGAAATAGTTTAATTATCAAGTTTTTTGTATAATAAAAATATAAATAACTTAAAAAACTAATAAAAAAATAAATAAAATAATTAAACAAAAAATTAATTTTACAGTCCATAGACCATTTTCTGTGTTGTATATAATATGAGCTGTAGTGAGTAATTTGTTTTGACTTTATCCTGATTCCTGACTGTGTCAAATTATTATTTTTTTTCTGTATGGCAGGTTGGAGCTTCTTTTCCGTTTGATTTGCTGAAGTTTGATCAGAATGAATTGACAGGCATACTGAGAGTGTACAACAGGTAAGACATGTTCATAGAACAAATCTTGTACATTTAGGCCAAAGAGTTTAAACATGATTTACTTGAGGTACATAGCTGTTTATAAACACGGAGAAACTTGGAGTGTCCCTCAGGGCTCAAGTTTAGGACCGTTTTAATTGAAAAAAATCTAGTAATTAATGTCTTAAATGCAGCGCAAACAGTTTTTCTGAAATTAATAAACACTTATGGATTTATCCAACCCATTTTGTCAATCAAATGATGTTCTGTCTTAATATTCTGTTGTGTCTTAATCTCAGCGGTTTGGTGAAATTGTGGAGCGCATTAACATTACTGGGATCATATCAGAATGAGGCGTGTGCATTCAGAGTCACGCAGGTACGTTTTCCTCAGTGTTGAAGCAGATTCAACATTTACTTTGCCCTGAGTTTGCCGTCTGTTGGCACTAGATGTCAGTAAAAAGCTTGTGGATCAATTGGAGGTCTGCCAGTAATGACTAGACACAATTTTAATGTGACCATTGGCATTCCGTCAGCCAAACTGTGTGTACTTTGCAATTTGTGTCAGATTGCTGATGGGAGGTTACTGTGGCGGCTGTTTATCTCATTTTAGATACTGAACCCTAATGAACTTCTAATAAATGTCACAGACATCTGTGTTGAATGCAACTCATATTTCTTTTTATTTATCATTGCAGGTTTCGCCATTTTTACTAGCGTTGTCTGGGAATAGCCGTGAGCTGCGGTTTGGAGACCAGTTGATTTGGTGAGGTGGGCCTACAAAAAAAATACATTGGAAAAAAATGTTTTTTCTCAGAAGAAGTATTTTCAGCAGAAATATATACCATTTTGTCAACTCAGCATTGACGGTTCCCGCATCCCTCACAGTAGGGCGCAGGTCGCTTTACGTGGGTGAACGGGCCTCGCTCAGCAAAACATTCAGTGCCAGAGATGTCGCACTTTTTGCTGAGCTGACGGGGGACACGAATCCTCTCCACCTCGACCCCGAATACACCAAAACAAACTCTTTCGAGACCCCCATTGTTCACGGAGTGCTGATTAACGGTCTGATCTCAGCAATTCTGGGGACGAAGTTGCCCGGCAAAGGCTGCGTGTTTCTCTACCAGGAAATACGCTTTCCGGCGCCCCTCTACATCGGAGAGGAGGTTGTGGCGGAAGCGGAGGTCAAAAAGATCAAAATGTCGTTTGCTTTTATTTCTGTTTCCTGCGCTGCCAAAGACAAAGTGGTCATGGAGGGAGAGGTCATGGTCATGATGCCGCAAGACGCACAACAATCATGAGAAACTTGAGTGAATGCTGCCGTTCAGTTTTTTATGTGCTGCCAGGAATTAAATGTTCTTTCTTGCTTATTATTGTTCTTTTGAAATGTAACACTCACTCAGAGATTTAATATTTCTTGTTTTTTGTTCTCAGAGAAGTTGTTTGAATAAAAAATAGTGTTTTTGGCTTAGTTCTTTGGTGTGGGCTGTATCCAACCTCAACAAAGACATCATTTTATGTTACTTAAAACAGTAATTAAAAATTGTACAGTTAACATAATAGTGGTAAAATTACATGAAATTAACCAGCAAACTTCTTCCAGTATAGCTTTCTCCACAAGATATTTAACCAAGATCAAATAACCTTTGTCTTGGTCCTCAGTCCTTAAATTTTTCGCTTGCTTTCTCTTTTGGTTAGTTGAAGAAATGTATGTGTGTGTGTGTAGATTTACATGTAGTATTTACATAATGCTTGTCGATGAACTATTATATTAATTACTGAACTATATATTATACGTTTTCCTTTTTTTTATATTTGGCTTTGCTTTATGTTTGTACATTATGTGTAAATAAATACATGCATTTCTGATGTTCTATGCGCTAATATTTGCTTTGCCAAGAAAATATGTT